TCAATTTACATATAAATCCAAACTGTACTGGCAGTAAACATAAGTGTAGGGACCATATATTCAATAACCTAATATATAAAATATCACAACTACACTTATTGCAATGCATTCATCAGGACCACAATACCCAAAGTGTCTCCATTATTGACAACATAATGGGACCCAATCGTTAAACAAATGCAATCAAAGATAAACAAATAAGCTTTTGAAAGATACTGCTCATTCACCCTAAACATATAAAAAGCTTTATTTTCTCATACCCATAAACAAATTTGCAGTAGCTAATGGTATGAAAAACGAAATTCCTACTGCCTAAAGAAACAGAAAAAACCTAAACCCTAAAACTAGTGGTAGAAGAAAAAGGAAAAATACCTTCAATGGTGATGGTGGTGCGACGAGGTGGTGGAGCGCCGAACGGTGGTCGAGCCTGTAGCAACGAAGTACTGCGATGGTGATGGTGGTGCGACGAGGGCGATGAGCTTCGATGACGAGAGACGACGACCGGAAAAGTTTTTGCTAGAGCGACTGAGACGACGAGCAACTGGATTAAGGCGACCGGCGACCGACAAAGATTTTGCGATTTAGGCCATTGACGACTTCGCGTTTTTGGGGTTGAAGAGCGGATGCGGTAATGACTTTTGACTTAAATTTTTATTTATTTATTTATTTTAAAATTTTTAATTTATGCTTATGTGGCAATTCAAAATATAAAACAAAGCTGACGTGGCGCCACATGGTCAACTACTGGTTCTTCAGAAAAAGTTACCGGTTAATGGGGTCAAGTGACTCAAAATTGTGTGTTCATGTGTTCAATTGACCTTTTTAAAAGTTTGTGGGGTTAATTAACCTTTAGCGAAATGTTTAGGGACCTATTTGATTCTTTTCTCAATATTAAAATATATTAGTTATAAAATGAAATATATAATAATTCAATGATATATATATATATATATATATATATATATATATATATATATATATATATATATATATATATATATATATATTGACAGGATAATAGGGCTGGCACCCGACCCGGATCATAAATGGGCATCTGACTCAGCATCACTTGGGAACCCAACGGACAGAACTCCAACGGTTAGGAATCCCAACAGGTGTCACCTTACTGTCATTGAAGCCAGCATTGAAGCCCCTATTGATGAGAGAGAATTAAAGCCTAGGCTCCCCATTTATGTCCCATGTTGTTACCGTTAGGACTCTAAGTATAAATGGGGCTCTCCTCACTAGACAAGGACGGTACTTTCCATACTGAAACTAAGGCAATACAACTATTGTCACTTTCTTATTCGTTACTTTATAATATATTGCCGGTAACATATTTACCGTCATTGGTGCTTTCATTGAGAGCCTGAGTCCAATACTCAAGCAGGCTACGACACACAAAACTCATTCCTCTTTCAACAGCAAGCTTGAAAGAATGGCGTCCCGCAGCTCCCACGGTTCTCGCAACGTGAACAATGGCAACGCCTCAGGCAACCTCCGTGACCTACTCACCAACAATCGCGAAGGGGACCTCCGAGAACATCTCAACAACGGGAGGCCTGGGGACCTTCAAGACCAACTCAACAATGGAGGGGACCTCCGAGACCAACTCCACAATGGAGGGGCGAACCAAGTCATGAGCCTCCAGGCAACCATTCAGCAAGCAGTGACGGCGGCACTAAACCAAGTGGCGGTGGGACTACAAGGCCAAGTGCCCCCGCCGCGGCCTCAGGAAATAGAGGTAGAATCCCCACGGAGAGTGGATGCCCAGGACGCAACCCGTGCCGCGAGGGACGCAGGGCGTCGCACTAGGACCGGGGGCCCGGGGGAGGGCACCCAAAGAAGCAGACCGGCCGGACGACAACTTAGGCCCTCCCGCTCTGCCTTAGAACGGTTGGGACACGGGGCGCCCGCTCGACAAAGGCCGGAATCGCGTGCCAGGGGTCTTCCGCTAGAGGCCCTCGCCGACACGAGGAAAGAGAAGCGGAAAGATCGCCCACAGAAAGGATGGGCGAGTCTCGTGGGCCGGCCCCGCGCCGGCACGATGACGAGTCGGCCCCGCATCGACACTTGGATGAGCGACGCTTCGATGAACCGGCCCCGCGTTGGCACTCGGCGGAGCGACGCGTCGATGAGCCAGCTCAGCGTCGGCACTCAGCGGGCGAACGACGCGTTGGTGAGCGGGTTCCACACCGACACCTGGAGGGACGAAACGTCGAGGAACCAGCTCCGCGTCGACACTCAGATGGACGGCGCGTCGATGAACTAGCCCCACACATGGAGGAGCGGCAGCCGGCCCCGCGCCGGCACCCTGACGAGTCGGCCCTAGTCGAAAGGCTGCAGAGAAGGATCGAGGAGCTGGCAAGAAGGGTGGAGGCACGGGAGCAGTCGCCGGAACCCGAGGTACGAATGGCAGCACCGTTCTCCCCAAGCATCATGGACGTACCTCTGCCGAGGGACTTCAGGTTACCCGCCATCAAGGCGTACACGGGAGCCACTGACCCACGTGTCCACATGACTAGGTACAAGGCTGCTATGGTAATGATTGGGGCAGGGGATGCCATCATGTGCCGAGCATTCTTGTCCACCGTGGATGGAACGGCCCAAGATTGGTTCAACACCATCCCAGACGGGTCGATCCAAAACTTTGGAGAGTTGTCCAAAAGCTTCCTGCGTACTTCTCGGGTAGCATACAGCGTAAGAAACCATTCTCTCACCTCTGTGTGGTAAAGCAAGATAGAGGCGAGAGCCTCAAAGACTTCCTGATCAAGTGGAAAAAGGAAGTCAATAATGTCTACGACTTCGACTCCAAGGCGGCGATCCCGATATTCATCCACGCCTTGAGATCGGGGTATTTTCACAAGCAGCTGAACGCCCACCACCCCCGTTCTTACGAAGATTTGATGAGGACGGCTAGCCACTATGCCGAGGTAGAGGACGTCGACAGGAAAAAGAAAGATAAGGAGGACGGCAGGAAAAACGGGAAACCTGGGAAAGCTGGTCCGTCCAGCCAAGCACCACGTTCGAACCACCCGTCGCAGGGAAAGGCCGGGACCATGAACGGCCTCGCCTGGTTCCCCTGCGTAACCTAACTCCTCTTACCCATCCCGTCAGCGTCATTCTAAAACAGGCTGAGGAGATGGGAATAGTCGAGTTCCCACCAGAGTGCATGAAGGTCTCCCCAAAAGGAGACCAAGCAAAGTACTGCAGGTTCCATAGGAAACCCGGACACGACACGGATGAATGTAACGTACTGAAGAGACAAATAGAAGAACTCAACCAGCAGGGCTACTTCCGGCATTTCGTCAAGCGATCCAAGCAGCAGCAACAGCCGCAACGCGATCCATCAAAAAATCCACCAAAAAATGTCTGGAGGAAGGAGGATGGCGCCGAGCCGTCCACCTCAAACGCTAAGAAAAGAGAACATGACCAGATATCTAAGCAGGATGATAACGAGAAGGAAACCGAGGTGGCGCCCAGACAACAAAAGAAACACACCATACACTTTATCTATGGTGGACCTGCGGGGGGCGACACACCCACAGAGAGGAAAAAGTGGAGCAGACAGCTGTACGTGGGAGAAGTGGTAAGCCTTCCCAAAGGAAAGAAGCAGAGGCGGGAGGCCATCACTTTCTCTGACGAGGACCTCCCCGAGGGCCCCTTACCCCATCGCGACGCACTTGTGATCAAGATGGACATCAATGATACGGTCGTACATCGCATCTTGGTCGACACGGGAAGCTCGGTTAATGTGATGTACTACGACGCTTTCACCAATTTAGGGCTACCTAGAGGCCAACTAAAAGAGGTACGAACTTCACTCTCTGGGTTTACTGGGGATTCGGTGGAAACAGAAGGGTCGGTGACCCTGCCCGTGGAAATAGGCACGAGCCCCAACATTCGCAAGCTGGACATGGAGTTCATCGTGGTAAGACTCACCTGCGCGCACAACATCATACTCGGGAGGCCAGCACTGGAGGACCTCAAGGCCAGAGTATCGGTGGAACACTTGTGTATGAAGTTCCCCACTCCTAATGGAATAGGAGTCGTCAGAGGTGACCGAAGGGCAGCCCGCAGTTGCTACGTGAAGGCATGCAAGAAGATTGGCAGTAAGGACCTACAGGTCCACACGATCGCGGAGAAAATTTTCAAAGAAGAAGAGGCCTGGCCCCGCGCCGAGCCCATGTCAGAGACGGAAGATATAGTTCTGGATCCCTCCAGACCAGATCGAGTGGTGAAGATCGGCACAGGCTTAAGCCCAGAGCTAAGGGCCCAGATAGTGGATGTAATCCGCCGTTCTCACACGGTGTTCGCATGGGGGCCAGAGGACATGCCGGGCATAGATCGAAGGATCATAACCCACAAGCTCGCAGTCGACCCCAGCGGAAAACCAGTGCATCAGCGAAAAAGGTATATGTCGGCAGAACGAAGAGAGTTCGTGAAAAAGGAGGTGACCGCATTACTCAACGTAGGGCACATCAAGGAGATTTACTACCCACAGTGGCTGAGCAACGTAGTTTTGGCTCCCAAAGGATCAACGTGGAGGATGTGCGTAGACTACATGGACCTCAATAGGGCATGCCCTATGGACCGTTTTCCACTACCCAATATAGATCAATTGGTGGATGAGACGGCAGGGTGTGAACTCATGAGCTTCATGGACGCCTTCCGTGGGTACCATCAGATATCCATGCATGAGGAGGACGCCGAGAAGACCGCCTTCACCACTCCCGAGGGGATATTCTGCTACTTGGCCATGCCGTTCAGATTGAAGAATGCCGGGGCCACATACACTCGCATGGTGGCAAAGCTGTTCAAGACAGTACTGGGACGAAATATGGAAGCATACGTGGACGACATGATCGTCAAAAGTCGCAAGGCCACCTCCCATGCCGAGGATCTCAGCGAGGTATTTTCCATTATGAAGAAATTTAATTTGCGCTTGAACCCAAAAAAAATGCACCTTCGCCGTTGATGGGGGCAAATTTTTGGGCTTCATGATCACTAGGAACGGCATTGAGCCGAATCCAGAAAAAGTAAGAACTATCCTTGACATGGAGCCTCCGCGGTCCATAAAGGAAGTCCAGAGGCTCAACGGGCGTCTGGCGGCCTTAGGCCGTTTTCTATCTAAATCGGCTGAACGTTCCCTCCCCTTCTTCCAAATCTTGAGAAAGAGCAAAGGGTTCGAGTGGACGCCAGATTGTCAAAAGGCCTTCGAGGAGTTGAAAAAATACTTGTTGTCCCCGCCCCTGCTTGCAAAGCCAAAGGCAGGTGAAGCCCTAATTTTGTACTTGGGCGTGTCACATGGTGCGATCAGCTCCGTGTTGGTCAAAGAAGAAGGAGGGACTCAGCGTCCCATCTACTACGTAAGCAAAGCCCTACATGACGCGGAGCTCCGGTACAGTGTGTTGGAGAAAACAGTATTTGCCATAGTCACTTCGTCAAAAAGGTTGGCTCACTACTTCCAAGCTCACCCCATCCACGTACTCTCACATCAGCCATTGGGGAGCTTCCTACGGAATACTAACAGCTCCGCCAGGATGGCACGATGGGCCATGCACCTCAGTCAGTTTGACATAGATTTCAAACCAAGGCCCGCCATCAAAGGCCAAGCTCTTGCAGACTTTATAGTGGAGTGCACAGCTCAGGAAGTGACGGACCAGGTAGAAACTGAAGATGGAGGGTGGTGGACCTTGTCCACAGAAGGCTCTTCAAACAGCAAAGGTTGCGGCGGTGGCGTAGTGCTCGTTACTCCGGAGGGATTCCGCGCCTATTATGCCATCCGATTCCACTCCAAATTATCTAACAATGAGGCAGAGTACGGGGCCCTCCTCAATGGACTGCGATTGGCGGCGGGACTACGAGCTGAGAAGGTCCGAATTCGATGCGATTCCAAGCTGGTGGTCAGCCAGGTGTCTGGGGAGTATGAAGCCAACGAAGGAAGCATGCAGAAATACAGAGACGCGGTGTTGAGAACCCTGCGCGAGTTTGAGGGATATGAGATACACCAGGTACCTAGAGAGCAGAACGCCGACGCCGACATGCTCTCAAAGCTAAGTACCGGAGTCCCCAGCCACATTAGGAAGATCGCTCGACTAGAAGACCTCGAGACTTCAAGTATCGACGTTTCGTGGGTCTTCCCTGTGCAGACTAGGGAGCCATGTTGGATTGATCATATCAAACGATACAAGGCAGATGGCACCCTACCGCAAGACGAGGCAGACGCAAAGGTAACGAAGTTACGGGCGCCCAGCTACGTTGTCTCGGGCGATAAACTGTACAAACGCTCCTACAACGGCACGTTACTGAGGTGTCTATATCCAGATGAAGCGAAGTTGGTGATAAAAGAAGTCCACGAGGGGGTATGCTCGGCGCACCAAGGGGTGTACACCATCGCACGTCGCATCATGTTACAAGGGTATTTTTGGCCCAAAATGCTGAGGGACTGCGCCGAGTATACAAAGCGATGTCCCAAGTGCCAAGAATTCCAAGCACTGCCGGGTCGACCTGCGACGAACTACACCCCGGTAAGCACCGCGATTCCTTTTTTGAGATGAGGAATTGACCTGGTAGGGGCCATTCCCACGGGGACTGGAAGCAGGAAGTACATCATTGTGGTCATCGACTATTTCACGAAATGGGTGGAGGCCGAGCCCCTAGCGAGCATCACCGCAGCAAGGTGCAAAAGGTTTGTCGAGAAAAATATCCTGTATCGTTTCGGTATCCCTCTCCAGGTAATCACAGACAATGGCCGTCACTTCGAGGCACGAGAATTTTCAGAATTCTTAGCAGGATGGGGCGTTAAGCACAGCCGGGTGGCGGTATCTTATCCTCAAGCGAATGGGCAAGTGGAGAATGCGAATAGAACCATCCTCGACGGCCTCAAGAAAAAGCTAGAAGTGGTTGGCGGAGCCTGGGTGGAGGAACTCGACGGCATCCTCTGGGCCTATCGCACGACACCAAGAAGGGCCACCGGGGAAACCCCGTTCGCACTTGCCTATGGATTCGAAGCTCGGGCCCCGGTGGAAGTAATCATACCTAGTAGAAGGGTGGAGGAGTTCGAGTCAGAACAAAATGAACTCCACCAAAGGGTGGATCTGAACTTCTTGGATGAAAAAAGAGAAGCGGTATTCTGCAAGATGGAGAACTACGGTCGTCAGCTAAAGTCCTACCACGACGCAAAAGTCCGACCCCGGTATTTCCAGGTCGGCAACCTTGTGTTGCGAAGAAGGGAAGCCAGCCAACCCCTTGAAGGGGGAAAATTCGCAAAGAAGTGGGAGGGGCCTTACGCCGTGGAGGAAGTCGTTCGCCCAGGAACATACAAGTTAAAAACTACAGGGGGAAGAATGATCGATCGGGTATGGAACTCGGAACATTTGATCAAGTACTTTCCTTAAAAATCCTGTAGTAGCAATCATTGGAAATAGTACTTGGCAATCGCGGTCCGTCCGCTCTACACGCTAAAATTCTTGGAAATAATATCTTACTTTCATGGTCCGTCCATGTTATTTACTAAAACGAATTCGTTATCATCTTTTACGAAATTTTTCTGAAATAATATCTCGTTCTCATGGGCCGCGCCTCGGCCACAAGCCGATTCAAAAAAAAAAAATTCATATATATTAAATATAGACGTATACTCATATATACATAAATACATTGTAAAATAAATTGCAAAATAATAATGACAGCGGAGACTTACAGAGCTGTGGCAGAAAGTTGTTGAAGAAGTGCTCTCAAACTGCTCAGAGAGACAGGGGTTTATATTGGAGAGGCGCTTGAGATAAAAAAGTTAAGTGAAGCAGGAAAGGATTGGGAAAGCACAAATCAGGGATTTGGAAGGCAAGTTAGGGATTTGGAAAACAAAACCAAATATCCTAAATCAAACAGAATTCTACACAGGATCAAATAAAATATCCTAAATCAAGAGGATCCTACACAAGATCAAAATAGATTCAGCTTTACTCCCAAGTCAACTCAAACACATCCGTTGACTCAGGAGTAGGGGGGACTGGTGACAGGATAATAGGGCTGGCACCCGACTCGGATCATAAATGGGCATCTGACTCAGCATCGCTTGGGAACCCAACGGACAGAACTCCAACGGTTAGGAATCTCAACAGGTGTCACCTTACTGTCATTGAAGCCAGCATTGAAGCCCCCATTGATGAGAGAGAATTAAAGGCTAGGCTCCCCATTTATGTCCCATGTTGTTACCGTTAGGACTCTAAGTATAAATGGGGCTCTCCTCACTAGACAAGGACGGTACTTTCCATACTGAAACTAAGGCAATACAACTATTGTCACTTTCTTATTCGTTACTTTATAATATATTTCCGGTAACATATTTACCATCATACACACACACACACACACACACACACTAGCTACACACTAGCATTTTGTACTCGCGATGCGCAAAAATTTATGCCTAATATTAAAACATTGATAAATATAAATAATTAAAAATTATAATTTGAATTATATATACATAAATAATATATGTATTTTGTACACACACATATATAATTTATCATTCATAGAAATTTAATTAAATATAATTAAGCATTAAATTAATATATAATGATTTTAATAAAATGTTAATTAAAAAATAGGAAAAGATATTATAGATATAGTTGTATGGTAATAATGATGTGTTATCAATGTTAGAATTAAAAGCAAACGATGTTATAACGTTGTAAGGGTAATTTTGTCTAATAACATTGAAATGTACAACATTTAAAGTAAAATGTACACATTTATTTGCATACAAAAATATGGACATAAATCAAGGATATAACATTAATTGAGGCTTATTGTGTTTTTAGATTAGATATATAAAAACAGGTCAAGCTTGCAGGCTCGTAGACTAAACCTTCACATACACAATCGTTATGCCATGGAACCGTGTTCACCATCCATGGTGAACACGGTCCCAAACGGTAACGGTGCCTACGGGCACCGTTATCTTCCACCAATCTTTTATTTATTTATTTATTTATTTATTTATTTATTTATTTATTTTATTATTATTATTAACAGTGCGACTTTTCTTCTTTATATACACATTTTACGGTTTCACTTCCTCTTCGCACAAGTTTTTTCAACACTCATAAATTATGAATGTGCAGGCATGAATTTATGAATGTGTAGTTATGAAATTATGAATTTTCTGTTATGAAATTATGAATTTTCTGTTATGAGGTTATGAATTTTCTGTTATGAGATTATGAATGCACAGAAAATTCATAATTACATAACTGTAAATTCATAATCTCATAACAGAAAATTCATAATTTAATAAATGTTTTTCTTTTATGAGATTATAAATTTTCTGTTATGAAATTATAAATTTTCTGTTATGAGATTATGAATTTTCTGCTATGAGATTATGAATGTACAAAAAATTCATAATTACATAACTGTAAATTCATAATCTTATAACAGAAAATTCATAATTTAATAAATGTAAATTCATAATCTGAACATAGAATGCAAAATGCCGTTAACAGCACATTAACTAAATTTTTTTTTTTTCCGTAAAAACGATGCCGTTTGGGACCGTGTTCACAAAGCATAGTGAACACGTTTCCACGACATAAGTTACCTCACATATAAGCCTGGGCCTATTTAACTAAATATGTTTTGAAATAGGTTTAGACCTGGCCTTTTAATTAAACAGGTCACACCCTAAATAGACCAGGCCATACGTCCCTATGTTACCCCTAGGTTCAAATTAGTAATCGTTATGCTATGGACCCAGTGTCCAGCATACATTGTGGACACGGTAACGGTGCTGTTAGTGGCACCGTTATCTTCCTCCATTTTTTTTTTTAATTTCAGACCGCTTCGTTATAGGAGCATATGTTCATAATTTTATCACTATGTGTTCATAATTGTAAGTTCATAATGTTAGAGCTCTGTGTTCATAATTCCATAACTGTACATTCATACTTCCATAACTGTACATTCATAATTCCGTAACTGTACATTCATAATTCAATAACTGTAAATTCATAATTTTTGAAGTTCTGTGTTCACAATTTTAGAGCTCTATATTCATAATTTTATCATTATATGTTCATAATTGTAAGTTCATAATGTCAGAGCTCTGTGTTCATAATTGTACATTCATAATTTTCGAAGCTCTATGTACATAATTTTATCACTATATATTCATAATGTCAGAACTCTGTGTTCATAATTCTATAACTGTACATTTTTTTTTTTTTGAGATTACATGAGATGCCTCCGCAGAGGCTCGTTACGATTGATGGCTCCTGGAGTCGCTTAGTTCGTCCCGGTGCTGTGGGTTCACCTCGTTTTGCCCAAGGTCCGGGGCAGGGCATGTGCCCCTGGTGCCGCCTAGATTACGGCTCGGGATAGCATGGGCCCCTGTTCCTCCTTGAGTTGTAGAGAGGACTTGCCTTACGCTGGGGCTCCGTCACAACGTCCCAGGTTTACCCATTTTTTATTCAACAGCATTCAATCCGCCTATGGTTCGGGATGTCTCAGGGCCTTTGATCTGAGGGGCACAGGGCCCAGGATCGCTTTAGCAACAACAATATTTCGACCCACGCTTGGGATGGGAATTGATCCCGGGCCTTTCTTTTGAAGGGCCATACCGGATACCATCAGACCACAACGTACATTTATAATTCAATAACTGTACATTGAATAATACTGTTAACGGTTAGCACGGCCAGACAAAATCATTTTTTTTTTTTTTTTTTTAAACTGGATGCCGTCATTTTTTCCGAAAACGTTTTGAACTCGTGTCCACAATGGACACGAGTCCACAACATAATTTGCGTCAAATTAGACACGCAAAGTTTGTCGAGCTCACAGGCCACAGCAGCAATGGGACGCTCTCTTCTCTCCCATCTCCTTATCCTCAGCAATACTGCTCCTTGCTTCGCTTCTTCAGTGTAATGTCTATTTTTATTTACTTATTTCTGTTTATATATCATTGCGTATTTGTGTACAATCGTGTATTTCTGGAACAGGTTAAGGGGACCACGATTAATTCCTCAGATTCGTGCTCAAAGTTTCCGGTGCCGTTGCAGCGTCGCCGTCTCCGAACCTTTGGCTTCCGAGAATCCTCCGACCTCTGTAAAGTAATGACATTTTTGAATTTTTACTACCGATATCTGAAGTTTATTGAAAAGTATTTTGAATTACTTCAACATTATATTTTCCTCAAGTTTAATGCCTATTGTCAGGGCGTCCTAGCTAACAATCTAGTTTGAAATTATTGGCAGTGTTGTCAAGTTAGAACTTAGAAAAAAAAAAAACTAAAGTTTAATTGATACAGAGCACATAAAAGATTGTTGCTAATAGTTTGAGTGTGGATTTGGCTTGAGAAATTAAAAAAAAAAAAGAAAAAAAAAGGAGGAAAATGAAAATCTATTCTATATCTTCCAGGTCATTGAGCGTCTCTTGATTCGGTTTTTTGTTATTTTAGACATTCCTTTCTTCATGCCATTACTCCTAAACTTGAAGGAAAATATGAAGTTGACCCCCACTCAAAGTTAACATGGTGTTACCTCTGCTTGCTGTGGCATTGAGTAAGTTAATATAACAGTAACTTTTATGTAAAGTGATTAGTAGTTAATGCCTATCGTTGTTGAGCATGGGACTTCATCATTATATATTTAATTAAAATATTAACATGTGATTGAACATGGAAATATTGGAAAATGATGATTTGCAGTCGTTAAAATCCTAATTATTTAGTAATTCTAGTTTTATTTTGCTAATTGTAATAGGAAGAGAATAGTCTCTGGTGTACAGCCAACGGGATCTATACACCTTGGGAATTATCTTGGTGCCATTAAAAATTGGATTCAGTTGCAGGTTTGTCACTAACATGCCAGATAATTTTATAGTCAATGATTATTAGATGGAGTTATTTATTATTTGCGCACAAAACATACTGTATAACTTTTATGCATTTGCTCCTAATTTGTTTATTTTCTTTGAGTTCATTTGTAGAGCTATTTATACACACACACATATCATTTATGTATAATGTATGTATAGATAAAATTCCTGATTATGATGACTCATAATGCTTAATACTCTAAACTTGAGTCTGTAGTTTTCTAAGCTTACGTGTCTTGAGTTCAAATTATATTTCCATTTGAATGGATTGCATATTTTTGGATCTACGGAATCCACTTAACTAAGGCTTAATTGCAATCCTGTTGGGACCATGGATTGTTCATTTCCTATTCCAAGGATTTTAGTTGCTTCAATATAATGAATTCATTTAATGGTAGTTGTTACTAAATGCTCCTCCAAAATTATTTGTGTTCCTCATCTGCTTTCTTCTGGTCATGATCATCTGGTCAATGATGCTCAATTAGCCTTGTTGAGTACATTATTCTTAGTTGTA